CACCTACCATCCCCCAACACACACACACCCCACCCCACCCCCAGGATAGAGAAGAGACAAGAGCCCTTGCCCAGTAGGTTCTCTGCGCTGCCCTGCATCTGCATTGTTTGTTTGGACAGGTGGTCAAGAGGCCCCGGAAAGTCCAGGTGGCCCCCCTGCAGGGCAGTCCTCCCCTCAGTCAGGAAGACCAGGCTTTTGAGGTGATGGAGGAATTTGATGGCAGAAGTTTCCGCAGTGGGTACAGCGAGAGGAGCCGGCGCAGCAGCCACGATGGTCTCAGCCGCAGCTGGGAGGACAGCCCCGAGAGGGGGCGTCCGCAACACTGGGAGCGCAAGCAGAAGCGCAGCCGAGGCCGGAGCCTGGAGCGGGGCCTGGACCACGACGACTATGACCGTGGCCAGGATCTCAGCCGAGGCCAGAGCCTGGAGCGGGGCCTGGACGACGACGACTATGACCGTGGCCGGGATCTCAGCTGAGGCCGGAGCCTGGAGCGGGGCCTGGACCACAGAGACTATGAGCACGATAGTCGCAATAGTCATGGCCGGGAGCGCAGCCCAGGTCGGAGCCTGGAACTTGGCCTGGACCAGGATGACTATGGGCGAGATAGTCGCAATATTCGTGGCCGGGATCGCAGCCGTGGCCACAGCATCGACAGGGACTATGACAGGGACTACGAGCACACCTATCATCAGACCTATGAGCCTGACTATGAGTGTGCCTACATCCCATCAGAGTACCACCGCAGAGCCCAGCCCGAGACCCGCTATGAGGGCGCCCGCAGCCGTGAGCCCCGGCACTCCTGCAGCCCGAGCCCCCAGCCCAGGGCCCAGCGAGAGCCCGGCAGCCAGGACAACCCTGACAGGCCCATCACAGTCCTTCTGACCAAAAGCAAAACAAATGAAGGTAGGCACATGTGATGTTCTGGCTGCATCACCTGTGTCCATTACCTGGCACTGGACATTGACCCAAATGCCAGGCACCTGTGTGTGGGCCCCTGCTGTCCTCACAGCCATACTGTGAGGGAGCTCCTCCTGAGTCTTTGTTCTTTGGTAAGGAGATAGGCCCAGAAGTATCCACTGACCTATAAGAAATTGGTGTCAGTGACCAGGTCCTCAGAGTAGTACCTCACATGTATACTTGTTAAGGTGAAGGCTCCCTGGGTTTCACCTGCCCCTGGGAATCAGAAATCAGGGGAGCCTGTGTGTGAACAGCATCTGCTGGTGAGCCTGGCACTTCTCCACTGACAGAAACAAAAGTAAAAGGCACTACCCCAGCATCTTGATTGATTCTGTTCTAGGCCATGTTGAGGAAATGTTCTTATTTAATCCCCATAAGAACCTTGGTAGGAGGCCTCATTTTTGTTACAGTCAGGGGTTTGGGTATGTACATGGAGGCTGGCTCTGGCCTGTCTGCTTGCTGGACATTGCATTCCTAGAGCCTTGGGCACACTTAATCCCATCCAGGATTCACTAAGTCTTGTGCTGCAGCTAGAAGCAGTTACCATATGCAGTTCATACACAGGGATTCCAAAGCCAGGATTGGGGAAGCCACCCGGTCTTGGCTTGAAGCCCAGACAGTAAGTAGGGACAGTGGAGCTCAAAGTGCTTTGGGAATAGTTGCTCTGAAGTCAGCAGATGAGTGAACAGGACATTGAGCTATTTCCAGCATCAGTTCTTATTTTCTGACTTTTAAAATGTCCTGTTAACATATCTTTTGATTCATTTGTTCTCTTACTCTTCCAAGAAGAAAAAGATAAAGAGCTCATAAAGAATGCAGAGTGAAAGATTCCCTTGCTTTTTAGTTTGGGGATTTGCATGTTGAGTAGCCTTTCAGAGGAATGGGTTTGCTTTCTTAGTTTTTCATAAAGAGTTGGGCTACATACGAAGGTGCCTGTTGAGTAGCTGAAGAATGATGTAAGGTCAGTAACAGGATACCTGGAGGCCAGGCTACAGGAAACAAAGTTGAAAGTTGAGATTGTGCCATCACTCCCGAGAGGGGCATTTTCATGAGCAACTTTGAAGGCAGAAAGATTTCACAGAATTTTTATAACCATTTCTAAGCAGATGGTCCTTCATTAATCCCCAAGCATGGATCCAGATTGAAAGGTGGAGTCTAGAGAAGTTTTGAGGATGAGTGTCTGTCAGACCTCCTTTAAAGAAGTCTGACCCAGACACTCAGCTTGGAATCTTGAACTACCGTGCATTGCTTTTCAGACCTTTCCTCCTTTTCCGTCTCACTTCCCCTTCATCCCCCTTTTCTTTTCTGACCTCCTGCTGTAGGAAGAACCACATCATGCAATTCTGGAGACATCTACATACCAAAAACTTAAATAGAAGTTTCATGGAACATTGTTTATTCTGTGTGATGTGTACTCTTAATAGTTTCCATTACATTAAATATTTAAAATACTGCTTGCAGCTCACTAGTCAATTCCAAATCTGTTAATGATTTGGACCAATAATTTAAGAAGACCACGTCAATCTGGAAAGATGACTCAGTGGTTGAGATCACTTGCTGCTTTCCTTCTATACAACCCAAGTTCAGTTCCTGGCACCCACATTGGGTGGTTCACAGCTGCCTGTAACTTCAGCTTCAAGGGATCCAGCACCCTGTTTATGGCCTTATGGCCTCTGCAGGCACCTGTATGCATGTGGCATACACTCACAGATACACACACACATACACACACATACACACACACAAATAATAAAAATAAATCTTAAACATATCTCTAAATTAAAAGAAGACTGTGTCCTAAGAGATTACTCAGGTCTCGCCTGGTCTTAGTAAACAGCAGAAATAAAGAACTTACAGTCCTCAAATTTAGAAGTCATTACATAAGTTCTTGTGGTGATGAGGATGGAACCCAGGGCCTAGTGCAAGCCAGGCAAGTGCTCTAGCCTGATTCTACTTTTTATTTAATTAAAACACTTTTTTTTCCCCTTTGGTCTTTTTGAGACAGGGTCTCCCTGCAGCCCCAGCTGACCTGGAACTCACTATGTAGACCAGGC